TGCATTCAGCAGCGGTTAAATTGTGTCACCGAGGCTGAAGTTCTTGGCTTAGTTATATACCATTGTCCTGAAAATGACACTCGTTTTCATCGCTTTTCAAATCATCCATTGGAAGTTCAGACATCAGAAAGAATATTTCTAATGTGAATATTATATTATAATCTTGTATCTGATAAATTTTCATGCAATTTCGTATGTTATTTGTCATAACGTGGGCTAATTTGCTGAAATCTGTTATTTTTATCCTCATCCGGTAACATTTGAAAAGAGGTTGCTTCACATATGTATGTTTAATGAAAGTACAGTTACCCTCTTGTTTTGTTTTTTTAAATGGGGGATTGAAGTGTACATGGTGTTATTCCCACCTCGAAGACTGTAATACTGCCATCTGTTGGATAATAAAGAGTGTCTTCTATATGGCCGACATAGGAGTGAAGCTGCTTCGTCATTTCGTGTCTGAATACACCACACTAATCTTACTTCCATAGTTCCATTTCATTGATTTAAGGTTTGAAACTCAATACTGTGTGAAATGAGTTAATCGATGTTCCCATAGTACAAACAATACCGATTTTTCTATGACAGGAAATCTGGACAAAACATCAGCGTTTGCATGTTCTGAGGACTTCCGATACTTGATTTCATACTGGTGGGTAAGGGAGAGAATGGGAGGAGGGGATCGATAGAAGGGGAGGGGAGAGGGAGAAAGAGAGAGTGAAAGTGGGAGAGAGGGAGATAGAGAGAGGGTCAGATAAAGAGAGAGAGACAAAGGGTAAGGAAATATTGCCTCTAACAATGTCTATGTAGTCAGAAGAAATTGATATTGTCATATTCCTCTTAATTAAATGTTATGATAATTCAGGCATTATAAAAAACATTACAAATCATAAATTCAGAATAAATAATAGCCCAGGACCTCAAAAAAGCAACTTGTGCTTGTACATGAGGCCCCTGTCAAGGTAAATACAATATCAAATTAAATATCGAAATCAATAAAACTTACTTTGTAAATATATGTACATTAAAGAAGAAGACATACAAAAACGACTGACTATTAACTGTCAGCAGGTATCGTCCATGTATATGCATACACTCACAATCACACACAAGAGCAATACCAAAAAAAGGGAGAGTTCAGAATGAGAAAAAAAAGGGAAGAGGTGAGAAAGAGAAAGAGAAGAAAAGGAAGAGGTGGGAATGAGAAAGAGAAGAAAGGGGAGGGGTGAGCATAACAAAATAAGAAACAGTCTCCTCTGTCAAGGATGACATACTGTTTCAAAAATCTAACTTTTAAATAGAGTTCTAAAACGAAAAAGTGTGGAGCTGGATTTAAGGTTATTACAAATTGAATTCCATTCATGAACTCCTGTAAAATGGATAGAATGGGTTCTTAAAGTAATGGGAACACAAAGACTATCCCGTGTATGAGTGTGATACGTATAGAATGAAGAATTAGTTCTAAACATATTATCAAAATATACTGGGAGAATCCCTTTGTGATACTTAAACATAAAAACTGATATATTTAAGTTTTACAAGTTCAAACACTGGGAGAATTTTTATCGTAAAAAATAGTGGTAGACTGGGATTACGAAACTCACTCTGATTTATCAGTCGTATTGCACGTTTTTGTAAAATACATGGTTTATCAATATAGATTGGTGGGTATAAAAAATCTGATATCAAATATCTGAAAAAACACCTATACTTGAAAGCTTAGAAGATATTATTATTAGCAATGTGATACTTCCAGTCAAGTGACTCATGAATAAGAATGCCTAAGAAAATAAATGACTCAGTTTTCTTAGACCCCGTTCTCACTCACTTCGTAGACCGATCTACGCTACACCGATCCATTGGATCGCTCCAGAGGTACGTTTCGTTTATGTTCACACTCACGAGCTAGACCGCTCGTTGCTATGGTTTGGCGCGAACGAGCTAGACCGCTCCTGTTGCTGGGGTAGCAAAGAGCGGGCGGAATTTAAAACCGAAAAGAGTGCCTCATACCTTCTGCTATATTTTGTTATTTTTTAATCATTCTATCATTTTCTTTTTCTGTTTTTCTTATGCTATTCTTTGTTTGTCCATCTTTCATCTTCTCTTCTATCTTTCCATTATCTATTCTTTATCATTTTCTCTTCCTGTCTTTTCTTATGTTATTCTTTGTTTCTACCTTCTACCACCTTTTCTTATGTTATTCTTTGTTTAATCATTTTATCACTTTCTCTTACTGTCTTTCCATAATATGTTATTCTTTGTTTCTTTCTTCTATCACCTTTTTAATGTTATTCTTTGTTTTATTATTCTATCACTTTCTTTTTCTGTCATCCTTATGTTATTCTTTGTTTCTCTCCTTTACCACCTTTTCTATGTTATTCTTTGTTTTTATAAATCTATCACTTTCTGTTACTGTATTTATATGTTATTCTTTGTTTCTTCCTTCTATCACCTTTTCTTATGTTCTTCTTTGTTTTATTATTCTATCACTTTTTTTCTGTCATCCTTATGTTATTCTTCATTTCTTTCCTTTACCACCTTCTCTTATGTTATTCTTTGTTTTATCATTCTATCACTTCTCTTCCTATCTTTCCTTACGCTATTCTTTGTTTCTTCCTATCACCTTCTCTTATGTTATTCTTTGTTTTTATTATTCTATCACTTTCACTTTCTGTCTTTCATTATGTTAGTTTTCGTTTCTTCCTTCTGTCACCTTCTCTTTTGTTATTTTTTGTTTTTATCATTCTATCATTTTCTCTCTATATGTCCTTATATTATTTCTTTTATTCTTGTACTGTAATCTCTTTCTCTCTTTCGTTACTTTCCCACCAAAACACACTCACTTCAGGTTGAAGATCGCTTCCTGGCATGATTTATGATCACACTGCACGATCGATTGAGCAGTCTGGGGCGATCTAGAAAGCGAACCGGTCCAGAAGACCACATCGCAAGGTGATCTTCTGGATCGGTCCAGAAGATCGCTTCCTGGTCTGTTCACACTCACAGTTAGACCAATCTAGCCTAGATTGAGATCGGTCTAGGAAGTGAGTGAGAACGGGTCTAAATAACAGTACTTTCACTTCTTATCGGGTCAGTGTTTGATGGAATTTTTTTCCTTTTATTATGGAATTATTAATACACACTTTGTTTTCATAAAATTCAATAATAGATTGTTGCTTCTGAACCAGTTGTTTAACATCTGTAATAAGGTGATCTGCCGTGCAGGGTGGCAGAGCACCTATTGATTTCGTCAGAATCTTTTTTTCTTTTTTTTCCCTTTCTTTCTATGTGGATTTTGTTCGCTTCATATCTCATGAATGGCATTTTCATGACATGTGACATATGCATGATTATTTTTCCCCTTTTCTATCTTTTTATTTTGTTATTTTTGAGCTGCCAAAAGTGAGGGGGAGGGGGGGGGCACCAGCTGTGCCCCTGCCGGAATCCATGCCTGACAACCATCGTCTAAAACTAAAACACAATCACTAGCAAGAAACATGACATAACGCAACTAGAGCTTAGCCTTAGCCTTAAAATCAGCTGGAAATTCAGAACTGATTTAAACCCCTAGATCTACTTTAAAGTAATCTACAACTACCGGTAAGCGCACGCCCAATGCAAAAGTGAATTTTCAATTAGTGCCCATTTTTCAAAGCAATGATTTGAACGACGTGCATCACTCATAAAGCAACAAAACGGTCATCAACAAAATACGAAACAAATATAAAATTAGTAAGTGAACAACAAAAGTACAAGCATGTTCAGCCAACACTTTCACATAAATTTGCGACTGTTATAAGTACGTGTTGGGCACTCCTAGTACACTGTTGCTCATAACGGTGGAATATTTTTTTTTATCCCAATTTATGGAATTATTTTAAAAATAATTTAAAAATACTAGATCTAGATAATAGTATACAGTCTCAGATTTTATTGAATAATAATTTGCCAATATGTGTTTTGCGTGACTGCTAAAGCAAGTATATTATGCTACTATGTTTATCAACTAGGGGACCTATGCCCTTAAGTCATAAATGACAGTAATGAGGATTAATGCCTCACAAAAGGGCACTAATGTAGCACATCGACACGGTGTTGATCCTGGGGCCTCACAGTTACGAGGCCATTGCGTTGTCACTGAACCATGACTGTACGCAGCGGGGGCTAGGGTAGGGGGCAGTTTCCATAAATTAAAAAAAACACAGAAAATGCAATAAATATTCCAATAATTTATTGCATTTTACCCCGGTCCCCAACATAAAAAAATACTCTGGACGGCCATGCATTATGGCTTAAGGCATGGGCACACAGAAGATTTTTTTATGTTGGGGACCGGGGTAGAATGCAATAAATTATTGAAAATTTATCGCATTTTCTTTCTTTTTTTAAATTTATGGAAACTGCCCCCTACCCTAGCCCCCGCTGCGTACAGTCATGGTTCAGTGACAAAGCAATGGCCTCGTAACTGTGAGGCCCCAGGATCAACACATTGTCGATGTGCTATATTAGTGCCCTTTTGTGAGGCATTAATCCTCATTACTGTCATTTATGACTTAAGGGCATAGGTCCCCTGGTTGATAAACATAGTAGCATAATATACATGCTTTAGCAGTCACGCAAAACACATATTGGCAAATTATTATTCAATAAAATCTGAGACTGTATACTATTATCTAGATCTAGTATTTTTAAATTATTTTTAAAATAATTCCATAAATTGGGATAAAAAAAAATATTCCACCGTTATGAGCAACAGTGTATAAATAATGCACGAAGGTCTAACCGTATAGACTCTAGACTCTAGATCTAGTCTCTAGGCTACACAAAATCAATGAGATCGATGGAATCGTTTGGATGGAAATCAGATTAAGAACAAAAAAACTGTTGCACTATTAAATGTCATGAATTTAATTTTCACAATAACTCTGCATGTGTCTGAACTATACTGGAAGTAGAAGAACTACTATTTAGAGTGTAAACTTTTATACAAAAGTTTGACTTACGCAGCTCAGATGCACAAGGTGACGACAACGCGACGGTTACCCGGCAATTGCAGCTCAATGAGCGGCGGCTGTATATATATCGGCACACGCGCACGTCGTCTGCTATTGGCGAAGTGTATTTTAAAAGCATGAAAAGGCCCATACCATGTGATCTTACTTGAGCACCTCGTGACTGGGGGGGGGGGGGGGGGGGGGGCTATGATCTCGGCCGTCGAAAGTCCGATGATATTTACGTAAGGAACAAGATGGTATAATTAGTTTTTTGCTAAGAATTAATTACGCAAAATGCTATTTGTATGCATTTTACAGAAAACTCTACATATTTGGCTGTAGACTTGTGAAGAATGTTGAAAATGTATTGAATAAATGTTTCCTTCATCTCAAATTCATGAGGTTACATTATTTTTATGATATTTAAAAATGCATAGATTAATTTGCATAAATTATGGATACGCATTCATGAACTTAAAATCTGGAAATATACAGGGAACTAGAATCATTACAAAAATTGTCAGACTCCACGTTTTGAATGTTAATTGAAACTCATTATTCATATGAAACTTCTTTTCAAACACAAAATAGTTATTTTGATGTAATTAATAATGATAATTTATGCAAATTTGATGCGATTTTAAATATTTTCTTTTGTATTTTATTGTTTTTTATTTCTTATTATATCTATTGTTTTATTGCTAATGTATTCTTTTGTTCTGGAGTACATCAAGTTACTTTGAGAAACATATAAAAGCAATTTGATATCAATTCATATCTCCCACTTAGGAAGAAATACATCTAAACCTGTATTCACATTTCTGCTTGTACATGAATATATGCAATTAGAGAATATTTTTGATGACATGCGCATACTAATTGTTATGTTACATCTTGCAGGTATGTCCAAATGTGCGTAAGACTTGAGGGGAAAAAAATCATGAAACGACAATTCAAAATTCCAAGCCGTTGCGGCGCAATCTCCGAAAATGTCGAGGAGGGCCTCCAAGCCCCCCCCCCCCCCCCCCCCAGTACAGTAAGGGTTGAAAGGAGGGTAAAAAGGGGTCTAAATTAATATCTGATTTATCATCTAATTGCAAATATCTTTGCGGGTTTATAGTTATTATTTTACAACATGGAATACAGCAGGGGCAGTGAAACGTCTTCCAAAGTGGGGGGGGGGCACCAACAAAAAGGCACTTTCTGACAAAAGGGGCACCTACAAAAGCAAACCTCAAAGTGAACATACACCCTTTCTAGACATTGGTATATACCACAACATCGTCATATAAATTGTTATTACACTACCAACGATGACATCAATAATCGTTTCTCTCTCTGTACGTCAGTGGTCCAAGATATTGCTTATTTTGCATTTGGGCGTGATGGTCTGAATATTAATTTTCGAGCGAGCGAAGCAAAAATGTTAAGATTTGTGAGGTCGCAGTGCGAACATTTTTATAAAGAGGACAACAAATAAACCTTGATGAGTGTTAAGCACAATCTAATGAAGAAAGATTGAACATAATTATTTTATATGTAACATAATTATAATCCCGGGTTATAACAACTATAAATGCGAGCGAGCAAGCTAGTCTAGGGGGAAAATCAAAAATGGGCTCTAAGTCACGTTGAATCAGGGGTACATGTTATGGAGAAAAGAAAAGTAGGCACTTAAGGGGAATGGGAAAAGTGCACGTGTCAAAGTAGCAAGGGCATTTATCAGAGGTGAAAATGGGGAACTTCTTGCACCTCAGGCTGAAAAGGGACACTCAACAGAGATGAAAAAAGGGCACTTGTGAGAATGGAAAAGGGGCATCTTTTGAAGGAGAAGTGCACCTATCAGATTTTAATTTCTTATAGAGGTGAAAAGGGACATTTCTGAGAAAGTGAAGGGGATCTTATGAAAAAAACGGGGGTGACCTTATCAAAAGGAAAAGGGGCACTTATTATAAGGGAAATGGGCAGTTCTTACAAATGGAAAGGGACACTTTGGGATACCTGAAAAATTGGGGGCACTTTGCCCCCCTGCCCCCCCCCCCCTTCCTCAGAAGCGCTGCCTCTGAAATACAGTTAACAATAGTTATAAGGACTGTGTTAGATGTTCCAAGAAATGATTCAAATGAGAGAGAAAAGTTGACTCGATAAGCCATAGTAAGTGTTACAGACTTTTTATTTTAAAAAACAAATGAACAAATTACAAAAATAAAACTTGTGAAAGGCGGATTAGGTTAAAGTGGAAGTAGGAGCAGAAAATGATAATGTGATAGAGGCCCATGTCTCATTTATTTTGGAGCGATTCCAATACTAGTATCAATTGGTTGTAACTTGAATCACCCTATACTCGATCGTGTGACCCAAAAAAGAAAATCAAAATGATCTTAGAATGTTCACAATATCAGTGCATGTGAACATGATAGGCCTATTTGATTATATGCAAGAGTAATTTCAGGCAAGTGTTTGATAAAAAAGTGTTTCTTCAACCCACGTGAACACAACGTATGGGGATAAAAAAAAATTAGCAAACACATCAGATTAAACCATTAGCTTACGAGCTTTGTGTGCATTTGTGAATGTTCCCTCTGTTGTAATTAGAGCGAACTCTTTTACTCTAAAATCTAAAAATGGTCTTATATTAAAACCATGAAAATATATGTGTAAAATCAATATTTTTCTCTCCTTTTTAATTCTTATCTTTCTATTTTGTTTTTATTCTGTTAAATGAACAGTTCAACAAGATAAATCATTATGTATTACTGTAATGTTGAAAACAAGAGATGGCGCTAAACCAGTTCTTTGATTCAACAAATAACTTACTGTTATATTTACCTTTATATTCGATGGACCTCTGCACTGCAAGTGTAATGTTTTAAACAAGAGATATAATAGAGTCATTCACAAAGCGTGCAGGTTTAGTGATTGGTGATGAGTACAGTGGATTGAGGGATAGCTAAGAAACATAATAAACAACTGTTATCAACTTTGCCCGATTACTGCCCCTGCCAATTTCTGGATAGTTGTTTTACTACTTTTGCGATTCATTTTATTGTTAATAAAACTTTGCTCAACATAATTACATACTTTGTTTTTATTTATGTGCTAAATCAAGAGGTGTCAGTTAAAAATGAAATTGAAGTCATCGTCAACTATAACAAGAATTTGGCGTTACGTGATAACATAAATATACAGATACAAAAAATGTATATTTGTATTAATATCAATATCATCTGACCGTAATTTAAGGCCTAAAACCCCTGAGCTTCTGGGAGCTCCGACCCCCTGGACCCCACGCCAATTAGTGACTTACACAAATAAGATATTCAATAATCTAAAACCCCTGAGCTTGCGGGGCCCCTGAATGGCCTCCAAGCTATGGGACATAGATAAATAGATATGAAAAGATAAATTTGTTTGTATTAAATATATTTTAAACTATCTTCAATGTTTAATGAAATTAAAAAACATATTCCCATTGATATTAATCATAAATCAACAACTTGAAAGGGACTTTTTTTGAATAAATATTTATATTGAAGAAGTGATTGTATATTATGTATAAGCATGTTGCATGGATATGCCTGAAGATCTGATAATGGTTTCCATAGCTGCATCGAAACAAAACTTATAAACACAAAGTATACCTGGTTATGTATAGGCCTCGGTTAATTCTCCTTGTATAATATATAGAGAGGGAGAGGCCTGATCCTATCCTTTCCAACAATACAGACTGATCTAATCAAAGTACTTCTTGCACTTATCTGTTTTTTTTTTTTTTTTAAAGCTTTTTTGCCTTTATTCAGATCTTCATAATTATACAAAATGATGAATAGGAACACAATTGTTCTTACAGTATAAACATACATGTAGTACATTGTCTCATACATTTTAAACACAGACATCTTTAAAAAATATTTTCCATGAGTATCCAAACTAATAAAGTACACATTCAAAACAAGTGTACAGAATATGCTCCAATTCCTTTAAAAAGGAAAAGGTGACGGTAATACTTGGATACCACAATATACAAAGGAACAATTTTTACAACATAATAAGCAAATTAATTAATTCAATATACATTAAGCAATCTGAACAAAGATTTTTTTATATAAACAAAAAGTATAAGGTGAAGGTGCTGCTTCATAAACCATGATAACAAAATTTGTTATATTTACATATAATGTTATGGTGCATTTTTTATTATAACTATATAAGGGTCTTGTATCAGTAGAGGTCTTTAACTATACCGTTATGTAAAAAAATAAAAATATAAAATATAATATAAACAACAAAGCAAACACGATAGCAGGTAAGTATCCGGATCGATGAGAAAGTGAGGGAGTGAACAGGAAAAAGGAATTACAATATAATACAATCAGTTCCCCTGCCTTAAGGGGTAAAATTTTCCCATTTTTGATAATGTATTGGCAGTTTGTCCTTTAATTTTGCTTTTTCATGTTGCGTGTCAGGTATGAGGTCTAGCGCCATCTAATGTTCGTTTAAAAAAAGAAATACACTTACTTGTAATTCCTCTCTACTGTACTCAAAAACATTGCGTTCATGTCTCTTCTTTCTTTTCGTGTTACGGAGATAGTTGACAATACAAAGCAAAATCATAGCTGAAATTGTAGGCCTACATCACCAATTTTTTTTTCTTCTTCTTAATAAACACTGATTATTCATTTTGTTAACGATTACTCAAAAATAGATGAGAACAATTATCTTTTGCTTTGATTGTGTATAATAATGATTCTATAACGTCATGCATTGAGTTCCGTTATTATTGTCTTCGTGTTTGTATACTGTTCCTATAAGAAACATTCACGTCGAATCTAGAAATCTAACTATGACACATAACGCATGTCGTATCTCGTATAGTATAATATTGTGCTGTGCTCATTTTTTATTTTGTCATGATCGCCAACACCACACTATTTCAGTGTTTTCCAATTAGTTTGTGGTAATACGATGTACGTGACGTCATTTTACCAATGTCAGACGTTTGCACAAATTATTATAGCGCCAGATATTTTGACAATATTCATTGTAGGTGGAATATATTACGCATAATGAGGGTATCGCT